ATTTGAAATTCAAATCGAATATCTGACGCTCATCTAGACAAGTACAACATTAACATATAAACGAAAAAGAGAAAATGTATATGAATAAGATAAAGAATTAATTAAAGAATCAAATTTAGTTCAATACTTCTGACATATTTATTTGGAAATAACTATAATATAATATATATAATTTATTATTAATATATTATATATTATATATTATAATAATTTCTTCTGAAATTTTATTTCTATTAATAGAAATAAAAATAATTAATAGAAATAACAATGAACATTAAAATTGATGATGAAAAAAAACGGAATGTTAAAACGAATACTACTATATATACCAACTAAGCAAGCTTTTTTAGTTTAGTTTATTTAATTATTTATATATATTGTTATATATTATTACTGTTTTAGAAATACTTACTTTTGTATTCAACATTCCAAGAATTATAAAAATTATGATGCCTATAATATTAATATACATAGTCAATTTATAACTAATCTCTTGATATGCAGGCCAATTTTTATAACTTATGTTTATTATTTCATTTGTATATACAGCATATAAAATGATACACATACTAGCGTATATTATACTCCAGTCATATCGTAATCGTCCTTTAAATTCAAATACACGTAGACCAAATATCTCATTAATAATAATGATATGTATTAGTGAAGCATATTGAGTTTTTGGTGTCCATCCTAAGATTTTTGTTTTAAATGCACCAATTATTATTTCTAAAAGCACATATTAAAATTCTTATAAACAAATCTATGATAAATAAGAATTGCAGATTTTTATAAAATTATATAGTTATATTATAAAAATTACAATTTTATAAAAATAATTATATAAATTTAATATTATAATTTTATAAAATTATTATAAGCTTTTTTGAACATTTTTTTGAACATTTTTTTTTTATAAAATATAATATAACAATTTTTTTCAAATGTGAATACAATTTTAAAAATATATGTGTTCAAATTTGTAAAATTTTTTTTAAAATGTATAAACTATGCACAGTATCTATATTAATTAATATGAAAAGAAAAAAAAATGGATAATAGATTTAATATCTAAAAATGATTTTTCTAAAAGAAAATAATAATTCTCTATCGTTATTATCGTTTCCTTATATGAAGAGAAATTCTATATTTATTTATTGATATTTACTAACCTTTCATATTCTTTTAATTTTTTTCTTTAATTTTCACGCAAATAATTATACTTATTAATAAAAAAATTATATTTATTTATTTTATAAAAAAATTTCACTTCTTTTATTAATTATCAATTTTTTCTTTTTTATATTCTTTCTAAATTACTATGTACAATTGTAAATTATAAAATGAATAGGTTTATCTACTTGTTTATCGTTATAACTTTCTTCGCAACTCCTTTATGACTAATACGATTAAAGATAATCATATTATTTGAAATTATATTTAGAATTGTATGTTTTCAATATAATTCTTCTTTAAAACTAATCGAAAATGGTACGTGTTATTTTATTTATTTATCAATGAAGATACAAATTAAAATGAAGCATATACTTTTTTTGAAAGAAAGTGTTAACTTCAATCTAATTTTCTTTTAAATTAATTTTTCAAGAATAATTTAGATGCGTTCTATATTATGATTAGATTAATAAAAATTAGAATATTTGCCACTTGTTAAAAATATATTATAATAAGATCTTTAGATCTTTTCTTTTTCAATTTATGAAAAACCGTTTTTCTATATATTTCGATACTTCAATTTTTTGAAGTTTTGAATATTATAATTTATTGTTTTTAATATATAAATTACAATGATATAATAAATATTTGCTGATTTCGTTTTTACTTTTCATTATTTTAAGGTTTTGTTAGATTTTACCATTTTTTTTTGTATCACGAAATATTGGTAATTTTTTGTTTTATTAATATATCTTTTGTAATATGTTAATGTTTGATTTATTTGTATGATTTCATATATATATATATATATACATAGATTGTAATATCGTTTTGTATGAAGATTTTTTCTTTATAAAAATTATTATGTAGAAAATAAATTAAATATAATTCTCTTTTTCTTTATTTGAAGAAAATTTATTATTATTAATTTTTATTATTATTTATTATTATTTTTATTTTTATTATTATTATTTATTAT